CCTCCCCCCCCCCCCCCCCCCCCCCCCTTGGCCCAACCCAACGGAATCGAAGCCAACTATCCCGCAATAAGCACAGGCAAGTGGTTTTTTTCTTCATGAGGCCATCACGCATATATTAAAAGGGATCAATCTCGCTATCAGATGGTTTCAGACCCCAGCACATCATCCGACATGCACGCAAAGACTGTTTCCACATTCTCCCACAACAGCTTGTAGTTCACAGCATGTCGAAATTCATCGGGGTGATGGTGAATGTTCCAAAGCGCACGTTGGATGCGATCCACAACCTCGCAGGTCGTCCTCGTCGCCGTGGTAAATTCCGAGTCCTTGAAGTCGCGGTACATGCGCCCACGCTCGAGCCAGAGTGCAATGCTTGGACTAACACCTGTGGCGTACTGCAAGCTTTCCATGTCGCCATAGTCCAAAAGGCCATAGATCAAGTGGATGATATCAATATCAACAGGTAGAGCGAATCCAATTTCTCTTTGCCCACTATAATTGCCTTCCGCATGCAGTATAGCAAATGACTTAGCATCAGAATCTCTGATCTGGCACAGGTCTTCCTCAAGCTCAATGGGGTTGCTGCCATGCCTCATGCTTGAAAAACACAAGGAGGGATACTCAAGATGCTTCCAGAATCGTGACAGCCATTTGTGATCAATTGATTCACCCCGGCGTTCAAGAAAGCCAGCAACAACTGTCCAGCATGCGGCATGAATATAAGGAACATTGACTTGCACTCCTGGGTGATACAGTTGTGGCCTGGGAAGCTCAGAAGATCCTTGTTCAAGTTGAAGAAGCTGATAGTCACCCAGCCAGACGAACTCTCTGTCATCTGATGTTTTGAAACCTTCACCGCAAAGACGACAATACTCTTCATAGACCAGTCTCTCAAACTTGGCCTGGTCCCAGTCCCGCCCCTCCCCATCACCAGGCCAGCCAGCCTTCTTCATCTTCCTAGCCAGCTTATTGTGGCTATAATAATCTTCAGGATCAGAATCGGAGTCAGGTTCAGACTCATATTCCCAGCCCATGTTTCTCCTCATCACAGACATTTCGCATGGGTGAAGGCCAATCCAGCTCAGGTCCCGGAATCGCTCCTTGCAGAGCATAAAAAAGTCGGCAGGTTCATACACATTAAAACCAAACCGCCACTGATTTACCTCATCGCCCTCAAACTGTTCCAGAATGTGGTTCAGCTCAGGCGCAGGCTCATCATGCCCCCCTTCTGCATCACCCCAGTAGATGTAGCCGTCGTTGGTATCCAGGATAACCTCATAACCATTCCTGCCGTGGCTGAGAGCAATGACAGCGCAAGAAGGTGGAGTCGCCTGGCCAGTATATGGCTCAGCAACACCTTCAATAGAGCCCTCGAGGATCTTTTTCTGTATGTCCTCGCAGCGGTAGTCAACAGTAAATGTGTTATCCATGATGAGGGGCTCACGGTATTTAGGATAGTCGATGTAGGGTATGTTGCGGAGTAGGTCAATAACTGTGTCACTCCTCTTGAGGTTGGCCAAGGTCTCCTGGTTGATTGAAGGCCAGCCATCAGTGGGAGCCTGCACAACAGTGCCATTCCAGAAGACACGGTTACAGAAGTTGTAGTAATCCGTCAAAAGATGGATAAATTCGTCTCGATCGTACGCCATGATGGGAATCAGCGGCAATCTGTAAGGGGTCAATTCGATAATGCTTCGTCCAAGAAGGGTTCAGATGACGGAAGGAAAAGAGGTCTGTCTCAGGCGACTAGGAGATCATGTAATCAGATATAATTCTGTTAGTGCAGAGGTTTGAGGTTGTATAAGTGTGGGCTAAACGAGGGAGAATATATACACAGGGGGAAGCTGGATCACCCAACAAATTCATCCGAGCCTCTAGCGTAGCTTGGCAGGCATGAAGTACTAAAGCATGGTGGTCTAGCAACTAGTGTAGAAATAGCACATGTTTATTGGTTGAACGCGTCAGGATACAGTATGCCAAGGTATTGGGAGCCAGGACCGTCTTCTATTGGATGACCCTCAAAGTCTATTAACGTAATCCACAAGCGAGCCGGCCACCGCGTTCCAACTACGCGTCAGAACGCGACCCTTCCCTCTTTAACCATTCACTATACCACCGATACGCTCTCAAAGAAGCCGAAAATCGATCGAACAAGAGGGTAGGCTTTTATTAGCCGTTAGATCCCTTCAAAACAAAGAAATATCCAGTATTCGTGAAGCAGCGCGTCGGTTTGATGTTCCCCGCTCGTCTCTCCAAGATCGATTCCACGGTCGCAAGAATCGCGTCAATATTCGCGCCAACAACCATAAATTGACAGAAAATGAAGAGGATTCACTTTCTAAGTGGATTATCTCTATGGACGACCGCGGAGCTGCCCCTCGACCAGTTATGGTGCACGAAATGGCCAATCTTTTGCTAGCAGATGTGAAGGGACGTAGCTAGTCTTGATTCAAACTAACTAAGCCGTATGCAGTTATCTAAAAGCTTAAGGAAAGAAGAGAGAATTGACGGGGTCGAACGTAAACAAAAGGGGGTGTGATGAAGGTCACGCGCGCACACGTGATATCAACCGGGCACTGGCCCGTTATCGTAGAGCGTGGATCAACTATAGTTGGCGTGAACTGGGTTAGCAACTATATCAAGCGCCGGGCAGAGCTTAAAAGCCGATTTTCACGCAGATACGGCTACCAGAGAGCTCAGAATGAGAACCCAAAGGTTATTGGCGTATGGTTTGACCATATCCAACGGATAATTCTACGGCATCGTGGCAGAGGATATATACAAATTTGATAAGACCGGCTTTTCTATAGGCTTGACTTCAACAGCTAAAGTGGTCACCCGCGTAGAATACTATAGCCGGCGAGCTGTTTCATAGCCTAGGAATCGAGAGTGGGTGATAGCAATCGAAACTATCTGCGTAGGAGGATAGGCGCTACCACCCTATATTATCTTTAGACCTTGACATTTCCCATGGGCTACTGGGAATTCCCATGGTGGGACTAGACCCCCCGTGGGAGTCCTATAGGAAATATGGGAATTCCCATGGGACTACAAATAATGCAAACATGGAGAAACTCGTGACTTGCATAATTGTACGGCTTTATGCTGGTCTTTTTAAGA